GGGGGTAGGGGAGTAGATTGTTTGGAGGGTAGGGGGAGTAGATTGTTTGGGGGGTAGGGGGAGTAGATTGTTTGGGAGGTAGGGGGAGTAGATTGTTTGGAGGGTAGGGGGGAGTAGATTGTTTGGGGGGTAGGGGAGTAGATTGTTTGGGGGGGTAGGGGGAAGTAGATTGTTTGGGGGGTAGGGGGAGTAGATTGTTTGGGGGGTAGAAGGAGTAGATTGTTTGGGGGGAAGGGGGAGTAGATTGTTTGGGGGGGTAGGGGAAGTAGATTGTGTGGGGGTAGGGGGAGGAGATTGTTTGGGGGGTAGGGGGAGTAGATTGTTTGGGGGGTAGGGGGAGTAGATTGTTTGGGGGTAGGGGGAGTAGACTGTTTGGGGGGTAGGGGGAGTAGATTGTTTAGGGGGGAGTAGAATGTATAGGAAGGAGGGGGAGTAAACTCCTTGGGAGGGAGGGGGGGAAGGAGGTCGTAAGGAAGTATACCAGAACACCAGTGTGTATACTAGTATACGAAATAAGTATACTAGGACCCCCAGTATACCAGCGCCCAGGTATACCAGGAGGAGTAATGAGACATATGATCAATGAGAGATGAAGAGACATGATGAAAGGTGCAACACTGAGTTACTGTGAGTTATGGGCTGTCTGTCCTCACCCCTCCTCCTCCTCACCTCTCACCCCTCCTCCTCACCTCTCACCCCTCCTCGCCTCTCACCCCTCCTCCTCCTCACCTCTCACCCCTCCTCCTCACCAATACAAACATACATACAAACATACACCAATAAATTGGTGTATGTTTGTATTTTTTTTTTTTTTTTAGATATATACAAGAGTTGATACATTCTTGTACAGCCACTAGTACGCGTAGCGTTTCGGGCAAGTCCTTAATCCTATATGTATACCAGACAAGGTCCATTTAATGGCAGAATTTAGCCATTTTGTGTAAAAACTTTTATATCTCATATTATTAATAAAAATATATAGTAATCGAAAAAAGTCATAGTTTGTATATACAAGAGATGAAACAGCGAGCCATGAGCTAGAGCGATGTGCTGAGTCCATAAGGAGGCTGAGCTTCCAGAAATACCTTCCTGTGATTGGCTGTTGCGGGGAATACCAACACTCTTTTATGAATACAATTTAAACTAAGAAATAGGTCCTTGTGCACAACAACAAGGTTGTTGTGAAAAAGAACAACAATTTCTGTTTTGCACCTGACAGAAATCTCCATCTAACTGAATAATTTACTCGAATAAGAGGGCAGAGCAGCGTATCATTATTTGTGTCAAGGCAACCCCCAATAATAACGTCCCAAGTTAGGTAGCCAGCCCATGTTTCTGTAACACCCGTTACATCCTGTAGTATTTAATTATCACTATATTAATATTTTTAAATAGTTAATATTTCACTTTTTAGGTAGATTAAAGTTGAAACAGAATGTCATAAGCAAGGATGGTGTGCTGAATAAACATGATTTATTAAGTGGATGGAGCCTTTAGCTGATCCCTCCCTGTGATTGGCTGTTGTGTGAATGTCAACAAAGAATATCTACCAATCATATGCCATTTATTATGCACCCCATACCATCTGTGGGCGGAGCTTGGAACCTCCTACCCGAGCACAACAACCCACCTTATGGGTTGCTGTTTGGCTATTTATAGTGCGTTGGAAAAAACAGAGATGGCGTTAGTTGTATTTTGCAGGGTAATTTGTTATAAGTGCAATTTGATGTCAACAGATGGCGTAAGCTGTATCTTATGGCCACTATTGACCAGCCAGTTGATAGTGTTCTCTTCTGCCGACAGATGGCATCAGCTGTGTTATTATTACTTCCGAATTCCCTTTTAAACACTGATCTACAAATCCCTTGGCTTATGATAAGGTTTTATACCATTTATGATAAGTATTAGATAACTGGAGTTCCGCAATTACTTTTATTTATCAACGTGGCTATGTTCAGGATATCGATCATATGAGAACGTCTCGTCGTTAGGACGTTAGGACGTACTGCTCTCGATTGATGAAGATTAAGCCACCCAAGAGGTGGCACGGGCATGAATAGCCCGTAAATACTGCTCTCGTAATATTGTTCAGAGGGGTGGGGGAACTATCAAGTGAAAGCGCCAAGCCATTACGACTATATAACACTCGGAAGGGATCAGGATAAGGATTTGGGATGGAACGGGGGAAAGGAATGGTGCCCAACCTCTTGGGCGGTTGGGGATTGAACGCGGACCTGTAGGAAAGGAGACCGTCGCTCTACCGTTCAGCCCAAGTGGTTAAGCATAATATTATTAAAACAACAATTTATGCATACAATAACAATATTTCAAACTAAAAATACTTGGATATATTGAAATTTGGTAGTGACTTCCAATCTAGGAATCTCTTATGACTAAACTGTACTTTTTTAATCATTTTTATGTACTTACTACTTATTATTAAATTATTAAGTACTTACTATAATAATTAAATGAATTATTTTATTTAATATTTAAATTAAATGATAAAATAATAGGTAATAATAAATCATTGTGTAGGGGGGACAGGCAGCCAGTGTATATATATACATGTTAGGCTTATACCAAGGTCCCACAAAGGTGCCACAAAGGTGCCAAATTAAAGACTGAGTGCTGCCGGGGCGGGCCCAAGGGCTGCTGGCGGCCCTGGCCAGGCTGAACTTCCGCGCCCTTATAATCACCATTGTTTAATAATCTTCAAAGGGAGAAACACCTGTAAATATAGGAATAGTTTATTACAACATACACGGTAAAGAAAACAGCTCAGAAACTAAGGAAATAAAGCTGCCGAAAAAACATTAAAGTCCACTTCAAGTTCAAGTATGTTTATTGAGCAATAAAAAAATACATCTCAAAGGGATAGAGTAGCTTAGGCTATTTCTATCCCCCCCCCTCCCCTTTACATCAAGTCCCTCAAGGGGCGCACAAATTCAGTGAGTATAAATACACGAATCACAATACAAGAATCCCATTTAACATAGCAGGTTAAAATAGGAAGCACAGCATATAAGTGTTACAAGTGAGTTACAAGTTACAAGGGAACAACTGAGAAGGCGGTAGAGGCCAAAACCGGAATGGCACAGTGATTTTACTGCAGATATGTCGTGATTATCATAATATTAAGATGTTAAGGCACGAAACTAGTAAGTACAAGACCAGAACCTAACGATGCCAACACAGAAGACACTGTTCAACATAACAGGTCAATTACACCTGATTAATCTTTGTATAATAGGAGCTGCCTCGTATCGGCCAATGGGCCTTCTGCAGTTGCCTTTATTCTTATGTTCTTATGTGCTTCGTCCCCCCATTTACCCCTATGCACTTCCACAGATCTCCAGTATCAGCTATTGATACTGGTAATGGCTCAAAAGGGCCACCACTTACGGGCTATTCATGCCCGTGCCACCTTTTGGGTGGTTTAATCTTCATCAATCAATCATCATCAATTTCATTTCACTTGAGAATGAACCATGGAGGTTCGAAACGTTGTGCAAATTGTATAAATAAGTGTAATACATTCTATAGTAATTCACTTTTTTTCTTCACTTTGAAATAACGAAAATGAGTTTTGGAGAACTCCTCTTTCAGCTAAGCCCTGATGCTAGGAAAATAGTTAGAGGGATAGAAGCCCTAAATCAGAAGATAGTAAATACAGAATATGCGGTCATATTCAATGAGTCATGATATCTAACACCAATTACTAATAAAACACCAAGTATAATTCTGCAGCTACATCTTGTTCTTGTTAGGCTCCATTTATAGATTATGCAGTTCAGTTTTGGTCGCCATACTATAGAATGGACATAAATACACCAGAACGCGTTCACCGAAGGATGACAAAGTTGGTCCCGCAAATTAGAAATATTCCATATGAAGATAAATTGAAAGGGCATAATTTACATTAGAAAATCGAAGAGTTAGAAGAGACACGATCGAGGATGGATGGACAAAACAAGGGATAATGAATATGGTGTAACGTATGTTTATGTTACGTTGTTGGGTTGATTAGATACACAGTGTTTAGTGAGTTTCATATTTATTTAGTAGTCCTGGATACAGCAGTGTCGTAGACGTTGAGACGAAGCCTGGAGCAGAGCAGAGAGCCGAGTGTGGCCGGAGTCGCGGAGCTCTATGTGGGAGAGCGTTGTAGCTGGATGAGGTCCTGGTCTGCTGCCTGCTGTGTCGAAGCTGTAGCGTCTTGGGGCGATTAGAACTGCCTACACCGAGTGCTACATTCTTGACTGGAGGTTGTATTGGTTTGCTGTTCTCAGATCGCTGGCTAATATACGGTTACTACACCTCACAATAAGATAGGAGGGTGGAACAACCGTTACCTGTAAATAGGGATAGGATTATAGCTTGTGTAATTAGTTATGCCATTAAGATGATGAGATAATGGAGCAAGTATAGGTTTACTCGCTACAATGGTATTAAATATATCAACACAAAACTGTGTATATAAATGGGACAAGTTTAGATATAGGAAAGACCTGGGTAAATACTGGTTTGGAAACAAGGTTGTTGATTTGTGGAACAAATTACTGGTAAAATAATAGACATTGAATACCTTGATTGTTTCAAACTTAGGTTAGACATAAATATGAATGAATTTGTGTGGGTTCTGGCTATAGTGTGAGCCAATAGACGTTCTGCAGTTCACTTGATTCTTATGTCCACATTGCCTAATCATCCAAATTACATTAATCAAGCGTGTTAGGAAGAGAGGTTAAATAATAAAATCAAATAGAAGGCGTACAAACTCGAATTTCAAGAATAACCTGCCAATTCCTCTCCAAATATACATTGTAATTAATCAGTATGTTGCGGGCCTGATTTTTGAATTTCGCGCTGTTGACCAACAAGCCCAGAAAGAGTATGCTATTTTATCCCCGGGGGCCTCTATATACCAGGATTTTAGTACATAATCGCCAATATAATAATTTTTAGAGCTCGATTGTGCAGTAGGAGAGCAGTGGAGGAGTGTAGAGGAGCCTGCCAGAACAGAGGTGGTGTGGGACATGTTTGTTTGGTTTGATCCCTCGAAAGTTTTTGTTGGGTGAGAAAAGTTGAAGGCAGTGGCTGAACTCAGCTGTTTCAAATCCCAGTTGTGCTCGCCTCTCCACTCGCGTCCCCGCGCCACCCTCCAGGCCAGAAAATGCACCCGTGAAGGCCCCGGCGGCCTCATTTAACCCCCTCATAATGCCCAAAGTGAAGTCCGGGAGGATGTACGGAAGCTGCTTTCCGGACTATGAGTTGAGGCGGAGGGAGGCGGGTCTGAGGGCCACCCTAGGCTGGGAGTCTGGCATCAGGCGCTCCCTCTACTCCTCCATGATCCCCTGCACCTCCTGGGACCCCAGGGAGAACGATCCCAAGACTGGGTTCATCGGCCATGGTGGCGTCTTCAACCTTGAGTTCTCCCCCGATGGGTGAGTTGTGTGGGCAGGTGTGGGGGTGGTGTGGGGGTGTTGTGGGGGAGGTGTGGGCTCTTGTGGGGGCAGGTGTGGGGTGTTGTAGGGGGACGTGTGGGCTTTTGTGGGGCAGGTGTGGCCTGTTGTGGGGCAGGTGTGGCCTGTTGTGGGGCAGGTGTGGCCTGTTCTGGGGAGGTGTGGGCTCTTGTGGGGCAGGTGTGGCCTGTTGTGGGGCAGGTGTGGCCTGTTGTGGGGCAGGTGTGGCCTGTTGTGGGGCAGGTGTGGGCTGCTGTGAGGCAGGTGTAGGCTGTTGTGGAGCAGGTGTGGGCTGTTGTGGGGGAGGGGTTGACAGTTGTGGGGTGTGGACGTATTATATGCAAGGGTTCGCATACTGGCTGCTTAGTCTATATATTATTTTTTTAGAATCCTTATGTGTCATAATTTTGTAACTTACCTATACTTTACACACAGTTTGCTTCACATGTTCTTATTGAGTATCGTGTTTTCTTTACACATTCGTAATGCATAATGTTTAGGCTAAGTTCGCTTCACATATTGCCAACTGTATCATGGACTGGGCTAGGTTTGCTTTATGTATTGATCACGTGTATCGTTGGTTGGGTGAGGTTTGCTTTATGTATTCATCACGTGTATCGTTGGTTGGGTGAGGTTTACTTTATGTATTCATCATGTGTATCGTCGGTTGGGTGAGGTTTACTTTATGTATTCATCATGTGTATCGTCGGTTGGGTGAGGTTTACTTTATGTATTCATCACGTGTATCGTTGGTTGGATGAGGTTTACTTTATGTATTCATCACATGTATCGTCGGTTGGGTGAGGTTTACTTTATGTATTCATCACGTGTATCGTTGGTTCGGTGAGATTTGCTTTGTATTCATCACTTGTATCGTTGGTTGGGTGAGGTTTACTTTATGTATTCATTACATACAGTACTGTAAATCATGGGTTAGGTTACATTTGGCTCACATTCTCTCCATATATTGTAGGTTAGATTATATTATATAATTTTGTAAAAACTTTGGTGTATAAGATGACCAGTAGCTGATGTAGCTGTAGCTATTTTCCTTCAGTAGATGATGCAGGCAGCAGATGTTCAGCTATCCAGACTAGGGAGAGTTAACTACCATTGCATTTTACAAGACTACATGTGAATTATTGGTGCTAAAAATACTAGTGTAAGGAACAATTCACTCTGCTATTACATACTAAAACTCTGCATAGCACGATTATTGCATAGCACAATACATAGCAAATTGTACACAGGCATTTCGACCAAGCTTATTTTCTAATTGATGAAATCGTGTACTGCATACCACTAAGTTAGTCTGGGTTGTTTTGGTTGGTTTTGGGTCAAGTTTGGTAGGTTCTACAATTCTTGTGTATTTGTTTTATGAATAAAATAACTGGTATATAACTTTACAATGGTTTGTTTACATTTCTTGCAAGGAAAATATTCTTTGCTGTTTCCACTCGATTATATGTATCATAAATTGTTAGGTAATCTGTGGTTATGTTCTCTGTATCTGAAAGGTTATGGTCAAATTCTACACGTTTCATCAAAGCTCATTTTCTGTGAAAACTGTATGCAGTACATATATACTGTAGTTAGGTTATGATGTATTAGTTTTGGTTAAGCTATGTTAGGCTTGGTTAGGTTAGGTTGGTTTGGGTTAGGTAAGGTTAAATATGGTTTTAAAATTTGTTGGCAAATCATCTTGTTAATGATGTGACCTGTACCATGTGTAATACTTGTGACTGTTGAGAAGAATAACAAACTTAATCCCTTAAATTATAAACTCTTGTGAAGAGAAATTGAGAGAGCCTAATTTACATATTGTAGAAATGCAAAAAGTAAGGGATGACATAATTGAAGTACTGTACAGTATACACATTGATGAATGGGTAAAACAAGTGGGATTGGATCTTGGTAGTACATTGATGAATGGGTAAAACAAGTGGGATTGGATCTTGGTGGGGTTGGGTTCATTTGTCGACTCAATTGGAAATCCCAGATTCAAATTTCGGGCGGGACAGAAATAGTTATGCACATTTCCTATCACCTAATGCCAGTGTTTACATATCATTAATAATTATTAGTAATTAAATAAGTACAGTATTCGGGAGTTAGTCAACTGTTGTGGATTTGCATTTTGGGGAGAGTTAGTACAGTAAATTGACCAGACCCCACACTAGAAGGTGAAGGGACGACGACGTTTCGGTTCGTCCCTTCACCTTCTAGTGTTTGGTCTGGTCAGTTTACTTTAGCCATGTTATTGTGACTCATCGCCTGCATTAGTACAGTACAGTAGTTCAATCTTAAGGAGACTCGGTATAAGCCTAATATATACATACCTTACATTAAACACCATACCTTACCTTGAGGTGCTTCCGGGGCTTAGCGTCCCCGCGGCCCGGTCGTCGACCAGGCCTCCTGGTTGCCGGACTGATCAACCAGGCTGTTGGACGCGGCTGCTCGCAGCCTGACGTATGAGTCACAGCCAGGTTGATCAGGTATCCTTTGGAGGTGCTTATCCAGTTCTCTCTTGAACACTGTGAGGGGTCGGCCAGTTATGCCCCTTATGTGTAGTGGAAGCATGTTGAACAGTCTCGGGCCTCTGATGTTGATAGAGTTCTCTCTCAGAGTACCTGTTGCACCTCTGCTCTTCAACGGGGGTATTCTGCACATCCTGCCATGTCTTCTGGTCTCATGTGATGTTATTTCTGTGTGCAGGTTTGGGACCAGCCCCTCTAATATTTTCCACATGTAAATTATTATGTACCTCTCCCGCCTGCACTCAAGGGATTACAGTTTTAGGCTCTTTAGTCGGTCCCAATAGTTTAGGTGTTTTACTGAGTGGATTCTAGCAGTAAAGGATCTCTGCACGCTCTCCAGGTCAGCAATTTCTCCAGCTTTGAAAGGGGCTGTCATTGTGCAGCAGTACTCCACTCTAGAGAGCACAAGCGTTTTGAAAAGTATCATCATCGGTATAGCATCTCTAGTGTGAAAAGTTCTTGTTATCCAGCCTGTCATTTTTCTTGCAGTTGTGACGGCTACTTTATTGTGTTCTTTAAAGGTAAGGTCTTCCGACATGAGTACACCCAGATCCTTTACATTGCCTTTTCGTTCTATGTTATGATTTGCCTGAGTTTTGTACGTGGTTTCCGTTTTTATATTTTCATTTTTTTCCATAGCGCATGAGCTGGAACTTATCTTCGTTAAACACCATATTATTTTCTGTAGCCCATAGAAAGACCTGATCTACATCTGACTGGAGGTTTGCCGTGTCCTCTATGTTGCCTATTCTCATGAAGATCCTAGTGTCATCTGCAAAGGATGATACAGTGCTATAGGTTGTGTTCTTGTCTATGTCCGATATGAGGATGAGAAAAAGTACTGGAGCAAGCACAGTACCCTGGGGGACTGAGCTCTTCACGGTTGATGGGCTGGATTTTATTTTGTTGACTATTACACATTGGGCAATTTATATGCATGCATATACATGCATATTCATAGGCTGCCTGTCTCCGACAAAATGAATTATTAAAGGGGGATACTGTATTAATAAGGTGTTAAATATTGCAACACAAAATAGAATGTGAAACAGTGGATATAAATAGGATAAGTTTAGATTCAGGAAAGACCGGGTAAATACTGGTTTGAAAATAGAGTTGCTGGCTTGTGAAATAAATTGTCCAGCAATATAATACATGGGCTCACAAGATTATTAGAAACATAGGTTAGATATAAATATGAATGTTTGGTAGAGTGTAAGCAAATGTTGTTTCATGTGAGCCAATAGGCCTTCTGCGGTGTCCTTGATTCTAATGTTCCTTTGATGATTTCACTATCCCCATACTGTACAATTTAGCTATAAATGTTAGAGATGAGACTGGAGTAATGGAACAGTGTTCAACCACTTGGACCATCGGAGAACGTATGCCGACTCGGTTGTTCAAGTTGTTGGGTAACTTCGATGTCCAGAGGGCTTGGAAAAGTCGAGAGGAGGAAGAGGGGTGTGGATTTGAAATTCTTGAAGAGAATTTGGATGGGGAATTGTAACACCCCCATAAATGTAACACCACTATATACTAAATTAATACTAAAAACACTACTACGTATCCTGAGTAACACTTCCCGTCAGTTTCACTTGGTAACACTGTATTGAACACTGTAATATGAGCTGACATATGATGGTTACACCGGAACCAAAAGGTACACTGCCAACAAGGAAATGCTACACAGGACTAAATAACGGTGCCACCATCTGCCTTCACCATTGAGACTATTTCAGGCAACGAGGCAAGAAACATTGCTTGACTTGAAGAGTACTTTCTATGACTGTCATTAATTATGGGACGGTTGACAGCCCCTATATCCAAAGGCTAAGAGGATTCAACAATTGATACAGACGGGAAATTTAACATGAGTTTATTGAGACCAAAATTATGCTAATCACCACTTATAAATCCTACTCTAACACTGGCCAAAAGTTAAGAAATTTGGACATGGAACAAAACTTCAGAGATCACACACATTACCTTAAGACCTCTGTCTCTCCTTGGCTGTGAGATGTTCTTCACAGACCCGCTCTCGATCCTGGTCTCCCGCACTCTCTCCCAAACTCTCTACAGGACCAACATATATACAACCCCAACAGGGGAAAGGGGAAGATTTGATATTGCTACCTACACCAAGACTGTATATGCCCCACATAAGGGGCATGAATGGCCGACCCATCACAGTGTTCAAGAGAGAACTGGATAAGCACCTCCAAAGGATACCTGATCAACCAGGCTGTGACTCATACGTCAGGCTGCGAGCAGCCGCGTCTAACAGCCTGGTTGATCAGTCCAGCAACCAGGAGGCCTGGTCGATGACCGGGCCGCGGGGACACTAAGCCCCGGAAGCACCTCAAGGTAACCTCAAGGTAAGACTGTAAGAGATCGGCCACACGTGTACAAACACTCATGAATTTTCATTAAACTCGTTTGACATTCACCATACACTCTTCAAGAGAGGCGTTATTAATTACGTGTGTGACTGACTTCTGACCTGGCTAAAAGGGGGAGATCCATGAATGTTTGCACATAAGAATCTGGGGTCTAATTCCATTACAATGTTTGACAAAGTATCATGAAATATTACATACTTGAAACTAGATGACTAAGACTAACCCAGGAATTTTTTAATCAACATACAAGATAATCTGGAGGTCATCTGGGCAGACCTCTTGGAGAAGGCTTCCCTGGGTGTGAACTCTAAGGGGGGGGGGGGTTCATGGGTGTTACAGAATGAGGAGGGAACAACAGTGAACATCTTCAAGAGGAAACTAGATTGTTTCCTTCAAGGAGTGCCGGACCAACTGGGCTGTGGTGGGTATGTGGGCCTGCGGGCCGCTCCAAGCAACAGCCTGGTGGACCAAACTCTCACAAGTCAAGTCTGGCCTTAGGCTGGGCTTGGGGGGAGTAGAACTACTCCCAGAACCCCATCAGCCAGGTATCAACCAGGGTTGAAAGTTGGGTGGCCTGTCCACCGAGGGTTGGCATGATGTTTTGGTCTTGGCTTGGAGCTTGTTGTTGATGTTGTGTTCTCGTTCTGTGGCAGGAGCTTGTGGAGAGGTGGTTGACTGTCGTGCTGGTGTAAGGGAGGTCTTGTGTCTGGCTTGGTGGAGGTGTCTTCACATTTCTGGTGGTGCACGTGGTGTTGTTCTAGTGCTGGTGTTTCGGTGGTCCTGGTTGAGGAGTCGCATGATTAGTGCTCCCATCAAGTGTGGCAGTGCGTTTCCTTCCCGATTGTTGTCATCTTCGCGGATACGCATTGTCCATTCACATTAAATATTGATGTTTACTGTATGCTTGAAAAAACCTGAGAGTTTATTGAAAAAATCCATGATATAAATTAGACCAATTTCATGGAGACCAATGACCTTCACAACCCAGGCCAACATGGATTTCGAGCGGGAAGATCGTGCCTTTCACAGCTACTTGAGCACTACGACAAAGTCACTGAGGCATTAGAAGAGAAACAGAATGCTAATGTGATATACACGGACTACGCAAAGGCTTTCGATAAATGTGACCATGGCGTGATAGCACACAAAATGAAGTCAATGGGAATAACCGGTAAAGTAGGACGCTGGATACTCAGTTTTCTGTCAAACAGGACTCAGCGAGTAACGGTCAACCATATAAAATCTAGTTCAAGTGCAGTTAAAAGCTCTGTACCTCAGGGTACAGTCCTTGCACCGCTGCTTTTCCTTATTCTCATATCAGATATAGACAAAAATACAAGTCACAGCTTCGTATCATCCTTTGCAGATGACACAAAAATCAGTATGAAAATTACCTCGGCTGAAGACATTGAAAAACTTCAAGCTGATATTAATAAAGTTTTCGACTGGGCATCAGAAAATAACATGATGTTTAACAGTGATAAATTCCAGGTACTCGGGTACGGTAAAAATGAGGACCTTAAACATAATACAGAGTACAAAACACAATCAAATGTACCCATAGTAGGAAAACAGCATGTAAAGGATTTGGGAATAATAATGTCTGACGACCTAACGTTTAAGGAGCATAACCAAGCAAATACTGCGACAGCCAGAAAAATGATAGGATGGATTACGAGAACTTTCAAATCCAGGGATCCCATCACAATGGTTGTACTCTTCAAGTCACTTGTGTTGTCCCGTCTTGAGTACTGCTCAGTTCTCACTTCCCCCTTCAGAGCAGGAGAGATTGCTGAAATAGAGGGAATACAGAGAACATATACGGCACGCATAGATGCAATAAAGCACCTAAATTATTGGGATCGTCTCAAAGTCCTCCAAATGTACTCACTAGAAAGAAGACGAGAGAGATATCAAATAATATACATCTGGAAGATACTGGAGGGCCAAGTACCAAATCTACACAGTAAAATAGCAACGTACTGGAGTGAACGATATGGAAGAAAATGCAGAATAGAACCAGTGAAGAGCAGAGGTGCCATAGGCACAATCAGAGAACATTGTATAAACATCAGAGGTCCGCGGTTGTTCAACGTCCTCCCAGCAAGCATAAGAAATATTGTCGGAACAACCGTGGACATCTTCAAGAGGAAACTAGATTTATTCCTCCAAGGAGTGCCGGACCAACCGGGCTGTGGTGGGTATGTGGGCCTGTGGGCCGCTCCAGGCAACAGCCTGGTGGACCAAACTCTCGCAAGTCAAGCCTGGCCTCGGGCCGGGCTTGGGGAGTAGAAGAACTCCCAGAACCCCCCATCAACCAGATGAGATGTTCCATAAATTGACATCAGAATGGATGCAATACATGCAATATCCATAGAGATATTAGGAAATAAATGGCAGTGTTTAATATTATGGTGTAGGCCAAATGCCTGGAAATCCTGGTGTTGGTATCCAGACGGCTAAACATTCACCCATTTGTAGGTAAGTTTTGCAAGTATAGTATAATCATGTACAGTATATTATGGCATATATTATAATCTGTGTTGTACTACAGTTAGTCAATATTCCTACAGCATCTTAAGGGGTCCAAACACTGACACCAGGTTTCTTGAGGTTTAGTGGCTCCTTTCCTGGGATACACTTATCTGGTATTACTGGAATCAGTAGCAAAGTGGCTCATACATTGTGAACCACTGACCATCAAGGTCTGATATAAATATGCAGGGTAACATGGTGTGTTTTGTGTGTGGTGGTGGCATTTTCAACTATATTTAGTTTTATTATCTGGACATTGGCAACATTCGATTCGTTGTCTGGATTTCAGTTACTTTTTTTTTTTTTTTTTTTTTTTTTTTTTTTTTTTTTTTTTTTGCCTAGAATACAACTATTGAGATGTTTATCCATGTCATCCTACTATTTAAAAATTGTACAGCTATCTGGAAACAAAAAGAGATACTGTAACATTATTTAAATATAACCTTTTAAATTTGATGATAAAATTGTTTTCATATGAGCATCATGAGAACCATTATATATTTATGGAAACCCAAATGTTATAATATTTCTGAACTAGTGCAAGCACTTTAGATTTATATTCAGATCTATGGTCTTGTTACTGATGTCTGTCTGGACACTGACAACTACGCCATAATACCACTACAGGTAATTGGTGTGGCAAAAAGATACCCGAGCAGGGATGGGGTCTGTCATATTTCAAGTACACCATCTTTTAAACTTAATCAGTGAAAGAAAAACCAGGAGATTTGCTTGTTGCCTCCGCTATGCGAAGATCATGAGCATGTATTGCAAAGGTAAAATCATAGGTAGATTTTGCCATACTGCACCAGCATATTATAAGCCTGGATCAACATCCTTTAGAAGCAGTCATGCCAGACCCCTGGCTGTTCAGTTTGCAACAAGTCCACAACTACTACTCCAACTCTGAGGAATGGAATGAGTCTTGACAGTTTTTGGGATTCACAAAAACACTTAGCCCAGAAGTAGATCTGATATTAGTGATGGCCGTCTCCTACTCAATTTTTTTTGAAAGGAAACTCATACACAGCCAATATGAAATGTTTGACATTGCTGTCAGTTGAAGGTTTTCCTGAGCATCTAAAGGATGATTGTTGAGTAGACTGGCCTGTTTGTCAGTGACCATAACTACCCCATTGCAGGTCTCCATGGCCAATGAGGAGGCCATGACCTCAGGCTTCCTTCTCAGGGACTCAGAGGGATGGGCAGTGGCAGGGTACTGGAGCTGGAGTAATTCCGAAGTGCTCAAATCTTACGATGGAACAAGGTGCTACACTGTTGAAGGTGCCCAAACAAGTCTCCACCTCTAAACTATCCAAGCATTTCCCGCCCTGCTGGAGAGTGACGGTGCTAAGTTTGAGATGCTGTATAGATCGACACGCAAAATATGTTACAAGGAGGTAGAAATAAAGTACTAACATTTCATGGTGCAAACAGTGATTAATTTCCAAAACTATCTGTAATAAGATCCAAAATCTGTGAAGAGCTAACCCAACTTGGCTAGGTCTAACATATCCTGTGTCATGGCTGATCTCACCGAGTGAAGTGTAGAATTAAAATAGCCCCAGTTTAATGCTCGAATTTTTAAGCTTAAGTTTAGTTTGGATATTACTTTTAATTATTTGCCATTTTTGTTGCAGGAGCCACCTGGTCGCTGCTTGTGAGCAGCGGGCAGTCATGGTCTTTGACCCATTGTCAAGACGCCAGATCCATCATATACCACACGCCCATGATAATTGTGTTAATTGTATTAAGTAAGTAATATTTTGTGATGTATAACATATTTTATCACAATTTTTCCTTGCTGAAATCCAGGGGTACCCGTGGTGTACAGCCTAGGGTATCAGATCTTATACTAAGCTTAAAATTATCTTGAATCATATTCCTCTCTCTCTTTTTTTTCTTATGAAAATTTTGTTCATTTGATATGGAGATTTTCCTTTTGAATCTTTCTACACATAGGAAGATAATGCATGGATGTGCTTTTAACATAGCGGGCGAATAGTAAAAGAGAACCAGGCCTATTCTATAAATTCATCAAGAACAAATTGCATGTAAAGGAAAATATTCAAAGGTTGACAGTGGGAAACAGATTCTCGGAAAATGAAAAGGAAATGTGTGAAACATCAAACAAAAAGTTCCAAAGTGTGCTTGTACAAAATGAAATCGTCAGAAAACCAGACACAATAAGAATTCCAGAGAACAACATAAAGCATATAGAGGTGTCTAGAGATGAAGTGGAAAAAATGCTCAAGGAGCTAAGTAAGAACAAAGCAGTTGGGCCAGATGGAGTTTCATCATGGGTTCTAAGAGAATGTGCACCTGAGCTCAGCATTCCACTTCAACTGATTTTTAAGGCATCCTTGGGTACAGGAGTCGTAGCAGATGTGTGGAAAAAGGCTAACATAATTCCAATGTACAAAAGCGGCAGCAGGGAAGACCCACTCAATTATAGACCTGTATTATTGACAAGTGTAATAGTCAAAATATTGGAAAAAATAATTAAAACTAAATGGTTAGAATATCTGGAGAAGAGTAATATAATAAGACAGACAGTATAGTTTTCGATCTGGAAGATCCTGTGTAACGAATTTACTCAGTTTTTATGATCGAGCCACTGAGATTTTACAGGAAAGAGATGGTTGGGTTGATTGCATATATCTGGACCTAAAAAAAAAGCCTTTCAACAGAGTTCAACATAAGAGGTTGTTCTGGAAACTGAAACATAATGGTGACAGAAAAATGAGGGCAGTAATCAGAGGCAATGTATCGGACTGGAGAAATGTCACGAGTGGAGTACCACAGGGTTCAGTTCTTGCACCGGTAATGTTCATTGTCCACATTAGCGATCTACCAGATGGAATACAGAATTAAATGAACATGTTTGCTGATGATGCTAAAATAACAGAGAAGATAAGAAACTTAAATGATTGTCATGCCCTTCAAGAAGACCTGGACAAAATAAGTGTATGAAGCACCGCTTGGCAAATGGAATTTAATGTGAATAAATGCCATGTTCTGGAATGTGGAATAGGAGAACATAAACCCCCACACAACCTATAACTTATGTGAGAAATCTTTAAAGAATTCTGAAAAATAAAGAGATCTAGGGGTGGTTCTAAACAGAGAATGAACAAATCCACAAGGGCCGTGACAGTGGATTCTAACCTAGGTCCGAGAGCATCCCAGACGCTGCCTTAATCGACTGAGCTGTGATATAGTAAAAGAATTGCAACCAGAAGTTCAGTAGAATTTACTGTACTTGGATCCTGCAGCCTCTCCGAGACACAAACCAGGATTTTACACAATTCCCCCATGCACTCGAGCTCTTGTCAATAGGCTGTTCTACCTCTTCGCCCTTACTTCATTACACATAAAATTCATTCACTGTGCAAAATAGTAACGGGAATCAATATAATTGATAGTCAAGAATTCCTGAGAGCTGGAACTTCAAGAACATGAAGTCATAGATTTAAACTAAGTGAATAAAGCTGCCAAAGGAATATAAGAAAATTCACTTTCACAGAGTGGTGAAGGTTGGAACAAATTAAGTGAGGTGGTGGAGGCCAAGACCGTCAGTAGCTTCAAAGCGTTATATCACAATGAGTGCTGGAAAGACGGAACACCATGAACGGAGCTCTCATCCTGAAATTACACTTGGATAATTACCATACATGGCATTTTTTTGTAGGTGACGTATGACTTGTGATAAGAGATTTATTGAAGCCAATATATCTACGTGGCACCTCCAGCATCAACCAGATCTGAAAGTGTGGCTCTATGGCGCTTGTTTTCTTCAAGAAGTGCCAGACCAACCGGGCAGTGATAGATATGTGGGCCTGTGGGCCGCTCCAAGCAACAGCCTGTTGGACAAAGCTATCACGAGTCAAACCTGGCCTCGGGCCAGGCTTGGGGAATGTAACTACTTCCAAAACCCCATCAAGCAGGCACTAAGCAGGTATCAACCAGATCTGAAAGGACAGTATAGCTGTATGGCACCTGTAACAACTAGGTCTGTAAGGGATGGATGACCAATGAATCGGCACCCACTGCAGCCTGAAATAAAAATAATGATAATTAATTAATTAAATTTGTCGGAGACAAGCAGCCTGTGAATATATTTATATATGTTAGGGTTATATTGAGGTTCCCCTAAGGCCATATTACTGACCCTCATCAGGATGCAACCCCACAACAAACTGACTAACTCCCAGGTACCTATTTACTGCTAGGTGAAAAGAAGTATTAAGTGATAGAAAACATGTTCAACCATTTCTATCCCATTTGGGATTCAACCGCAGGTTAGTCGATTGTGATTCAAGAACAAACCCAGCTGTTTTACTGTGCTGTACACTGTACCTACTGTATTTAGGTAGGTACAGTGCACCTAATGCACCAAATATACGAGGATGTTTTATGGAATTTAATTTTATTTATTTATACATTTTGTCTTACATTTATTGAAAGTCAATTTCAAGTGGCTTTGTAGAGGGTCAATATAAGATTTGTAGATGTAAATTTTTTTATATTAGATTGGTAGTGGATCAGAGACATTGTTTTCCTGCGTAAGAAAATGCATTGATTTCCGCAATTTCTACAACTCTTCATTAGGATATCTGACCTCCTTCAAGACTTAATTGTAGTAAAGCACCGCTAGATCAAAAGAACATAGTTTCCGACTGCACAATGAATCCTCCATAATCAATATCATTAACATTTTGAAATATTATCTGGCATCTGAATTTAGTGGAATTCATGAGATCAGTTGAGTTACCAAACTCTTTCTTACCAAACTACAAATCTCTATAACACACCCATGTTGTTGACCAGACCACACACTAGAAGGTGAAGGGACGACGACGTTTCGGTCCGTCCTGGACCATTCTCAAGTCTATTGTCAATTGAGTTGAGAATGGTCCTGGATGGACCGAAACGTCGTCGTCCCTTCACCTTCTAGTGTGTGGTCTGGTCAACATACTTTAGCCCCGTTATTGTGACTCATCGCCTGCACACCCATGTTGTCTTTTACTCAAAAAAAAAAAAAGAAAAAATGCTTATATGCTGCTGAGTTGTGTGTTTTGGACTGTTGCTGTCAGATGGCAGCAAATAACAGGGTGTTTATATTTTCATGGTTGTGATACTATCATCTTTCCTCACAGTAGATAGAGAAGGTTTTCTATAAAGGATGACAAATATTTTTCTGCACTGAAGGATGATTTTATTTCTGGACAAATGTTGTCCTTCAAATCTAAATGCTGTTGCTAATATTGTAAAGTAAATTGTATTATCCATTGTACTTGTTTTTGTAAATAAGGATTTATCTGTTTGCATCTTTCTGTTGCACATTAAACTAATCAGGCAATCTGCTTTACTTTTAATTTTTGTTGAATGAGATTTGGAAGGTTTATTATGCTTTTTAAATTTTCATGTATTGATAGCTTCCATATATTCTTTACAGTACTTTTGTTTATTGATTTATAATCAACTTGTAATGCAGAATTATAAATATTTTGTAGTCATAGGTTGTTGATTATTAATAATATAACTCATTTATTTTGAACACAGGTTCTTAGACTCGCGAGTATTTGCATCATGTAGTGACGATCACACGGTAGCGCTGTGGGACGTTCGCAATCTCAAGAGGCGGATCCGTCTTCTACAAGGACACAGCAATTGGGTCAAAAACATAGAGTACTCTGCAGCTGATGGGATCCTGGTCACCTCGGGCTTCGACGGGAAAATTTTAGGATGGGATATTAATGGGTAAATAACATGCTAAGTGCTGTACAGTAGTTGCATAAAGGACTCGATGATGATTGTGTTTCTGGAGTTCATCATTTGCGTCTCGTGGAAAGTCCATTCAATTATGCCAGTGTTTCATCAGTTTGCTTTAGCAACTAATGGAATTTGCTCTTTGAGATACATATTGCCTTTCTTTTCAGTCTGAATTTTCTAAAATATTTAGCCTTTACAAATTATATTTGTTTATTTACTATGCCCTTTTAAATTTCCACGGAGTAAGATAGTACTGTACCTGTATATTGAACTGAAGTTTGAATAGTTTTTATTTCTGACAGGACCCCTTTCAGTAGCTCACTGGGGCTAAGCACTAGTTTAACCATGCCTTAGGAAAATGCATCAGGGCACAAAGACCCACCCTAGTCTAGAGGAACCAAAACCAGCCTCTGTATTCTGTTCCGAGGCAAGGAGGATCTTGAGGATCAGAGATAGACCAGAGAGTGAGAAAAAAACAGCCAAAATACAACAAACAAGCAACTAAAGACAATAAAGTACCCAAGGCCAACAAGGCAAATGATCATTACTACAAGGTAAACGTACTGATCATATTGCGCCCAGCCACCATTAGCCGATGACAAGCCCCTGTCACCTGACAGTGGTTCTACGTGTGTGTGTGTGTGTTATTCACAAGTGTTCTGCACAATTATGAATTTATCATGGGTCTTCGTATGAAGATTCCTTGACCCTGTTTTATGCTACTACGGCTGCAAATGGTGTTCCCAATCGTTCACACTGGTCCTGTGGAGTTGCAGTGTTGAACTTTTATAACTTACTGTGCCTATGGACTTGGTCACATTTCCTCTGGTTTGCTGCCCCATTTTCTCCTTTCCTTTTTTCTTGGGGGTAGGGGGGGAATATTGGATGAAGTCCCTTTGTGGTGAGGATCTTGGTAGTTTCCCGTCCCTGTCTTGTTTCGTCGCTCCCAGTAGACTGGAAGGATTTGCTGAGGGTGGCTTAATGTTGATGGTTGATGATGATAACATAATGTTGATGATGATAACAAAATCAGCACGTTTACTTCACAGCAACGATTATTTGCCCTGTTATCTTTCAAATACAGTACCCGATTTTCTTAAACAGTTGCTTGTTTTATTATACTTAAGCTTTCTGGTTATTTTTGTTCAGTTTTGGGTTGATCTCTGATCCCTAAGCACTCACCCTTCCACAACTTTAAAAAGAAATGACGAAAATATTAATGTTTAGAGAGGTAATTAACATGTCAGGTATAAACGGCTAGGAGGCAGAACATAAAGAGCTAGAACTTGCTCTTACGTAGTAAATGATAGGTAAGCATGAGGGAGACAGATTCTGCTGGTAGTCTCAAGTAGGCAAGGGTGGGTATCAAAGGCCAGGTGCTTCTTCCCATGGCATGGCTTAGCTACTATTTAACACTGAGGACACCAGCAACGGACAGTTCATTACAAATCATTACACTGTACTTGATTTTTTTTTTTAATAAAATGTATAAAATTCCTTGGTGCCCTCTCAAAGTTGGATCCCCATTGTGACCCCTGGCATTAATTACATATACTCTGTATAGCACCTGTAGATAGGTGAACTTAATCTGATCAATTAACGAATCCCATTTTAAATAATAATAATAATATAGTACTGCATCATTCATATCAGATACAGTGAATACTTTTCAAGAATGTCCACTCAGTTTATTATTAACTTCAAACATAATTTTTGTTTAATTTTGAAAAATACATGGAAATTTAGAGTACTAGAATATTGTGACTACTGTACATAGTAAGTTTGTGATTGGTACCAGGTACACGGAGGAAGGGTTGCTGTCAACGGAGCTGTTCAAGATGCAGGGGCTAATGAGAATGCGTCTGAGCCCTGACTGCAGTAAACTAGTCATGTGCACCACCGGTGGCTACATGGTACTGGTGCACAATCTTAGCCTGGAACACCTCTCTCAAGATCTCCAGGATTTCAAGGTTGGTAAATCAAACCATCCTCTTGCCTAATGCGTCACTTTTTTCACAGATTCGTACAAATGTTAAAAATGTGACATTAAAAAATAATTAAAGCACTGTAATATTGACATTTTTAGAACATTGGTCTTGATATGTTAGGTGGGATGCTCTGGCTGGTACATTTCTCATTAGGCAAAATCAGCTGCATTTTTTTACAAAATGGTAACTCGATAAAATGAACTGGGTCTTGGTTGTATAGTTGGCTTTGTTGTTGACCTGCAATCGGAAATCACAGGTGGAACAGAAATGGTTGGGCACGTTTCTTATCACACAATGCTTCGGTTCGCCTAGCTGTAAATAGGTACTCTGGTAGGTAGTCAACTTACAAGTTCACTCTTGTTAATTCTAAACGCATTTGTTTCTCGTTTTCTGTCTTATTTACCAATTGAAAGTAAAAGCATGTGAAAAGATTAATTTATTAGTAAAAACAGAGTGAATGCTGAACAAAAGGGAAAAAAATATTCAGAAAACCGTAAACTATTTTGGCAAGGAATTGCGGAGTGTAGCAAGAAAACTAGATGGTAGGTAAATAAAATGATAGACATATAAATTAGTAGAGAGAATAAGCTGCCTCTGGGAGTCTGGCACGGGCGACCACCGAGCCGTGACATCACACGCCATTTTCTAGACACCACTGCGGCCAAAGTAAGTACATTTGTGCAATATTTTCAACATGTATGTGATCAGGGAAAGCTATTTAACACATTTGGAAGGATGTATTTATTTTTTTTTTTCAAAGAATTTATTTTCAGCGCACCATGGGAGTGTCATATTTGTAAGCGGTGCAGCACGGTGGTAAAGCTTGTACCACACAGATTAATCACATATTCATGGGTTGGTCTGTCGTATCTCCAACTTCCATCTGTTGAAGGTGTTGAGTAGGTGGGACTCACTGGCTGATCAGTGATCATCACACAGAGAATTAATTAACAACAATACAAAGTTGTACTTACAGTGGACCAGCCTTCATCACACTCATTCCCTAACTCGTACAAAAAGCTTTGATGATGGTCTAGGGAGCTAGTCACATGCTCATTCCTCTCATGGCACTGGCCTGGCAATCCCAGTATACTAGTATGAGTCTTATCATGGAAGTGGTGCTTGTTCTTAATGACAACTGCACGTGGTGTCTATGAAAGAACACATGTGGCAGTAGGCAGACACACTCGGGGACAGCATGGTAGTACATGAGGTGTATGGATGAATGATATCATTTGGTGCTTCTTGGGCGAGCGTGGTGGATGGAAACTAGTGGCTAGTGACAAGCGTGGTGGCTGGCAGATAGCAACAAGTGCAGCATTTGGTGACACATATGGTCAGTGGCAGGTGCACAAAAGCAGTTCATGCAGTAAAACACAGTAGGTGGCAGTGACAAACTCAATTTCTCTCAACAGACATAGTGTCTAAATTTAATCACAAACAATGTGGCGGCACTCCCACAGTCTATATAATGTTTACCAATACACTTCTCATTGCATTAGCTCAAGCATGACTTCATTGGATGACAATAACTCGCTGGACTCTGTTTCACTCTTAAGAATATGTCATGGTGCCTCTCAGATCTTATGTAGATAGCTTAATATCAATATATATACTCAAATGTGATTCTAGGTATTTGCAGAATATTTGCTGAATAAGTTTGTGGTAAGTTTAACTTAATGTTGGAGTATGTGGCTGGATGATAATGACTGTTGCTTATACAGCATAGACAAAATAAAGTCACGTCTGGTTAGTACAAACTCTGTGCTTAGAACCATGAGAGGGCTCCTTGAGGACCTCACCAGAGCTTCACGAGATCCAAATAGTCAGGTCTATGAACAAGCCAATGGGAACCTGGCACCCACGCCTCCCCCAGTCATGTAGACCTACATGTGTTGGCTAAAAGTACGATGTTACTAATATGTCACGGCACCAATCAGCATCTGTTTACCCCTGTTCATCCAGTAATAATTGGGGACCTAGTTGTTAACAGATTGGCAGGTCATATTCCAGGGAAAACTAATGGTGTAAAGTTTACCATGAGCAATGGAATGGGAAAGGTCTGAGCATGCTAACAGGAGTCAGAAGTTTTCTACTCCTATATAAAGAAAAACTAAATTGTAAGGTGTACATGATATTTATAGGCCAGGTAAAAGTGTAGTTTAAAATTAATAGTGAAGAACTTAGGAATGAAACAACCCTGGAAACACAAACCGAAACTGTCTCTATTTTCCGCTTGTTACAACTTGTAATAAAGTTGTTACATCTTGGCTTAACATGTTTATGACGTATTAGAACGTTGTTACAACTTGCTATATTGGTTGTTATAACTGGTTAGGTGTTAAAACTTGTGCAAACGTTGTACCAACGTCGTAGTTTTGGTGTGTGTTTGGCGGGCAAGCTTGTATAGAGTTGGAAAAGTTCTGTTAAATGTTGTGAAAAGTTTGCTGGTGTAATAAATAACTGGTTGAATATTAATGTAGGTTACACAGACAGAAATCACACTGTGATACAGTATATATATCAATGAGAAAATCAACAGGAGCTCTTAGGTGACTCGAACCCGCGACCAGCATACTGCCAGCTGCAATCCAATCCAATCCCAATCCCAGGTTTGTATTGTATACAATCCCAGGTTGTATAACTTTTTTACAGGTCAGGGTGGTACAGTGGTAGAGATTGTGGTTGGCAGTATGCTAGTCATGGTTTTGAGTCACCTAGGAGCTCCAGGGGATTTTCTCATTAATGTAGGTGTTCACCAAGATTGTGTGATGGATAGTCATGTGAGAAATAAGGGTAAGTAGACAGGGATGTATACCTAGTTTAAAGTCTGATATGAGAGTGAGTTATGTAAACAACCATTGTTGAAAATTTGATTTGAGATGTTTAAAAGAAGACTGCTGAACATGAATGTGGACAAAAGTAATGGTAGTTGAGAGAGATAATATTGTGTTAAATAAATGTGAATAGCAAGTGCCATGGATAGATGTGGTGGGAAAAGGTCAATACTCTATATCACAAGAATGAACCGAGAATACCGATAGGGTTTGGGCTCGTTAAAAGGATGAATGTTCAGCTGGTGAGGGATTGATGTAGGGGGAGGATGGAAAGTTGACAGAAGGATGATGTCGACAGACACGGTTAGTGTGGTGCGAGTGTAATAGGGAAGGTTATCTTGAGATGATTTCGGGGCTTAGCGTCCCCGCGGCCCGGTCCTCGACCAGGCCTCCTTTTTGTTACACACCCCCAGGAAGCAGCCCGTAGCAGCTGTCTAACTCCCAGGTACCTATTTACTGCTAGGTAACAGGGACATCAGGATGAAAGAAACATTTTGCTCATTTGTCTCCGCCTCCACCGGGGATCGAACCCAGAACCTCAGGACTACGAATCCGAAGCACTGTTCACTCAGCTGTCAGATGCCCAGGGAAAGGATAGGCTTTAACGGCCTGTAAAAAAAAAATGAGCAAATTATTTGTATAATATATTTCATGTATTTGATAATTCATTAATATAATGTATTTGATAATTCATTGATATAATGTATTTGATAATTCATGAGCAGTGTGCAGCTGGTCCTACGAAGTGGTGGGTTGCTGCTGTGGTTGATTACTGGAGTGCGTGATACTTGTGTATCTGCAACACTGTACTGTACTGTATTGTGAATGTGATAAAATGAATGTATGAGTGATATTTTGATTTTTTTCCTTTAAATCTATAGCCATCTTTTACTAGATTACACAATTTTCCTCATATCATTTGTCTTTTCACATTACCCAAATTAAGCATCGTATCAGTTCTGTTTGTAACATTTAATCAAACATTAATACTAAGCGATTCTGTGATGGTGTCGATAACATCATTTGAAGCCGTGGCAGAAATGAATGTCTTTCATTGTGCACGCCCTCCACTTTGTGTGCATAGGAATGTAATGTTGATCAGTTGATTATCTTTAAATGTGATTCCTTACTCAAACAGTACAGTGTGATGAATTTTGAGGCCATATGTTGGTATTGGACCTACGTACTTAAGCACTTCGCACACTCACTACGGAGTCCAGGGACGTGTATTTAGTTCCATCATACAGCCTCAATATTTATTCATGCTCATTGTGTTCCCGTGATATCATTGTGTAATACAGTATAATGTTTTTTGCAGCCAAACATGTACCGTCTGATGCAGCTATCCAACACTCCGCTCCCTCAAGCGGCCATGTTCACACACCTTTTCTATGCTCAGCGAAACCGAATTGAATTCATCTCCGACTTTCCCCCCTCCAATGAAGCCGAAGTGATCCATTCTTTGCAAGTGCATCCTCAGGGTTGGTGTGTCCTCTCTCGTAACACATCTATGGAAGATTCTTCTGAGGTAAGTCGACCGTGTTTCCTGTTCTCTCTCAAAATTTGTATACTAGAAAATAATTGTAAAGTTTTATAGTACCATTTCTGTTGTGAATTCACATATTTTATAAGAGAAGGTAGTTTTAATTAAGTAGAATTTTTTTTTACATAATAGCTGTGTGTGTGTGAATGCTGTCAATATCCTTTACTGTAATTGGATTTACCCTTAGATTAGCTGTAATGTATTCATCTTTAGCTGCAGCTGTAATATATTTAACTGCAGCTGTAATGCTTTGAAAGAATATTTTGCATTTTAGATTGTACATAATTTACATTCAAAACTAGTATATTGGTAATACACTTTTAAGTAGTTTGTACCCTTAATGTGCAGAAAATGACATCTAACACATGATCTGTTTCAGTGGAGCTGTGTCCATGACATTCAGGAACTAGGAGTAACAGCTTGTAAAGACGAAGATGAAGATGAACACAAGCACGACGATATTGAACCCTATGATGACATTCCTTCAACTAGTGAACCAGAAGTGCAGATATCATCAACTCAGAATAGGCAGATGAGTGGTGGAAGTAGCAATAGCAGTAGTAGTAGTAGTAGTACTGGGAGTGAAGGAGGTGGTGGAAGTGGAAATCTTCATCTCTCCTTAACATTCAGCCCCAGAGTGGAAATTATGTTAAGACACAGTCCTAGAGATGAGGGTGATGATGGTGGTGGTGGGGATAGTGGTAGTGAAGGTGGAGGTGGTGGTGAAGGAGGAGTAAGAAGTGGAAGCGCTGGTGGAGCTGGCGGAGGGGGAAGTGGTGGTTCTTATGGAGCTGGTGCAAGCGGAAATGGTGGTGTTGGTGTTGTCGATGGTGCAGGCATTGCTGTGGGTGCAGGTGGTGGAGGAGGAGGGGGAGGCGGAGGAGGAATTGATATACAGTTTAGATTCACCTCTATGGACGTGTTCGAGGCTTTGGAACATATACGTGAACGTCGTGAAGAGCAGAGACTTCGACAAGGAAGGCATCAACGCTCCACTAGAGAAGAAGGGGAAGGCTCCTCGGGGAGTGGGCCCGGGGAGGGGTCTTCCTCTACCTTACAACGTATTGGTCGCAACAGGACGTTTAGTATTCGCAGCAGGAGAGAACTAGACTCGAGAGAAAATTCAGGTTCAGAGAGAACTGCTGGTAATGCCTTTGACTCTCGAAATGCATTTTATATTAGAACTGGATCAGGTAATCACAGAGCAATTTTGTTACTTCGTCCTGGACAGAACTATCCACGATACTATCGCACTGTAGACCCGAACCACAAGATTGCTAAAAATATACCACGTTTGACTCACTATATTGAAGAACCAAATGTTGGCCGAGGTTTTATCAAAGAATTGTGCTTTAATTCCGATGGCCGGCTAATATGCTCCCCTTATGCTCATGGTGTGCGGCTGATGATGTTTGATCAGAACTGCTCAGAGCTTTCTACGTGTGTTAAAGATACCCCTCAGACTCTTTATGATGTGTCAACTAGTAATTGTCATTCAAACTGTGTTGTTAGTACCAAATTTTCCCCTACGCACTGCCTTCTAGTCTCGGGTTGTCTTAATGGCAAGATTGTGTGGCACCAACCTGTTCTCTAGTGCAGATAAAGAGTGAATTAAATGTGATTAGTGTTTGTCTGTCACAGCTTGGACACATTGTGCAGCTGCCACGTCAGTTTGTGTTTTCCTACCTAAAGTGAAAATATACGGTATAGTGTTTTGGAAACCTAGTGAGCCAGTGCTACTGAATAATAAAAGAAGTGAAATGGGATTTTACACCTCACCTGACAGGCAATCCTGTATTCACATCCAAAAGATGCCCACGAAGCTTTGGGATAATTAATAATTTGCAGATTGTGACTATAAAACTGTTTATATTGCCACACTTAGTCAATTATTTTTAGAAGTAACTTTTTATAGTAGTTGCTTTTCATCCAGTCTTCCTTATTTGAAGCAGGCAGCAGTATTTACAGTGTTGGTTTTGTGTGTTAGTAAATGGAAAACTTGTGTGAGATTATGCTAGTTTGTCTTAAATACTTCAAATTTTGCCCCATTTAATAAGCATCATGTTCTACTGTGGTCCATCAGCCTGTGATGGTATTTACAAGTTTTATTTTTAATGTAACTCATAAGGATTGCTAGAGAGTGTGTGAACGTGCAAAATCTACATTAAACTGTTGTACAGTATTTGGTTTGTTCATTTGTAATTTGACACATCAGAGTACAGTTAGTTGTATATTGTAGGAAGTGTATGGCTTAACTCAGATTCCTGGATATGTAATTGTCTATCATACGTTTATTCTTATTTAGATTCAATTATATGTTTATATTGTTTTATTTTATCATGTCTTTCATTTGCTTCTCCTCTTATTACAGAAATTAATTTAATATGGAATTGGAGTGGAGTGTTTTTATCTATATAATGATCATTATTACTGCATTGTTGTTATTATTATTATTAATATTGTTATTATTATGATTATTTTCATATAGTAGATATAATTTACCTCATGTAGTGTCCTTCCCATAATATTTGGTTTAGGCCAAAATAGTGTGAATGTATTATTGCACTGTACTTGGAACTGATAGTATCTCAAAGATTTAATGATCCCGGCAAGGCAGTTTTAGTATGGTATGGTGTCATTTTCCGTGATATGGGCCGAACTTGTCACTCTTCCATAGTAAGATTCTTCGGGTAGCAAATGCAGTTGTCTAGGGATGCCATATGTCACTAGCGGGAGGCCAAGGGTGAGAAATTGAGACCTTCATATTTCCTCGGTTTTCTCCACATCTTCGTTTTAGCATTTTTGTATTATTATTATTATTATTATTATTATTATTATTATTATTATGACTTACCATTTTAGTTTTATATAATTATTTAATTTTTACCCGTTACCAACACTGGTTGTTCTCGTTTTCCTGGCTTGCCTTCCTATGTTCCTACACAGTTACTTTGCATGCGTATACTTTGCTAATACACTTCTGTACTTTTTATATCATTCTTTATATCAGCCACATGGACTGGTCAGTAGAGTGATGGCCTTGCTTCTTGCAGGTGAGTGTTTCATCCAGGATGATCCATGTGGTTGGTCAGCTTTTCTTCACTCTTACCCCCCTCCTCCCATCCCAAATCCTATCCTGTCCTTATAGCCCTTCCATGTGCTATATAGTTGTAATGGCTGAGCACTTTTTCCTCATAATTTCCTTCCTTTGTCTCTTCACGTGACTTGTTGCTGGGAAAAGCGCAAAATTAATTTGTAGATAAATTTTTTATGAACTATTTTAAAATGAAGGTAAAATGGATACCTGGAGAGTAATTGATGTTGTGCAGGTAATGTGTTTATATCTACAGTATACATATTCATTTATCTTTATTAACTATATCTTTGGATGAATTGTCTTTTCGAATACCTGTGAACAATGTAGGGCATTAAAGTCTTAAAAAAAACTCGTTGAAGGAAAAGATAAAGTACAGTACAGTACCTATCTTTTAATGTAACGAGCCTCAAATGACTCCCTTTTGTCGCTGAAAACACCAACCCATATCTTTAAAATGTGTTTTGCCTGGATAATCCCATTTTGCCTAATGCATATTTTTGCTGGCATTGTGTTCTGCATTATAGTGGTATACTGTATTTTCTCTAACCTTGATGCTGGTAGGATCAATGCAGCATTCTCATTTTTGCTGCTTATCTGTGTGTATATTATTTGACTGTTCTTTCTATTCTGTAGACATTTTCACATCTAGTCAGCCTCAGTTACTGAATTGTCATCTTGTCATCTCTCTCTCTTTCCACTTGTAATGTCCATTATTGTAGCTGTGTTCATCATGTTCCAGTATGGTGCTGGCGATAAATGCAGTTATGAATTCTTTTGTTTGAAATAAAAATTTTATATGCAGCACAGTATCATCTTAAAATTCAATACATATAGGAAGTAAGCTTTGTGCAATTAATTATAAGTTAGCATTAATTAATTGAAAATACCTGAAGGGACTCATAAAAATAACAAAATTATATATTATTTCTATGGTTTGAGCTTTTGAACAATGTTCCATACTAATCGTTACTGTTTGACCTTCCATGGTCTGCATAGATTCTTAGTATATGGAAACATGTTTATCAAATTTATCTAATGAATTTTTTTAGTTATAAGGAATTATTTTCTGTGTATGAAGAGGTATGTGGACTGTGACACCCACTTGCAAATTCAGACATGTTGGCGTGTACACTACTGCAGACACACGTTTCTGAGAATAGTTTGTTCATTATGAATTTGAGCGTGTGTTCATCTAGGCAATGGTGTACTGTGTGTGTGTGCGCGTGCTCGTGTGTGTGTGTGTACACTCATCTAGTTTTGCTTGTGGGGATTGAGCTCTGGTTTTTTGGTCCCACCTCTCACCTGTCAGTCGTCTGGTGTACAGATTCGTGAGCCTACTGGGCTCTATCATATCTACATTTGAAACTGTGTATGGAGTCAGCCTCCACCACATCACTGCCTAATGCATTCCACCTGTTAACTACTCTCACACTGAAGAAGTTCTTTCTAACATCCCTGTGGCTCATTTGGGTACTCAGTTTCCACCTGTGTCCCCTTGTTCGCGTACCACCTGTGCGCGAACTACCCGTACGTGTGTGTGTGTGACTTTAAGTAGCATCTCTATGCAGTGTGTATTTGAATAGGGGCCCTTAGTTTTGATGGCATATTTCTGAGTGCATATGTGTAGGACCAAAATTTTGATGTGTGTGTGTGTTTATAAGGAATCCATTGTGATAATAATGATGACTGTTAAGAGATTATTTTGTTTCCCAATAATGCAGTAAGTCTGAAGATCTTGTTGACATATTTCTCTAACATTGGTGTCGTGTACTTGTATAATACATGTATGTTGAATTGTATATATGGGTTTATGTACAGTATTTGTATTTTGAGCCTATGCTACATGGTAGAAATTAATATAGAAATGTATTGTTGAATTCTGGTGTATATTTGTGTATACATGAATATTGAGGCTGTTAACATCCATCATCATAGAAGTGGCATATTACAGACTGATAATACTCTTTCAGTGCAAGCAATTGCTGTAGCTTATTATTATAAATTGCTTTGTCATTCCAGTTGTTTACATTTTGGGTTCTGTCTAGAAATAAGGAACAAAGGAGAACTTCTTTAATAGATGCAAAACTGTAATGATAATCTCATATTTACCAACAAGTCATAGTACAGCCTAGTATGGAGGAAGTTTTTGTACGAAGTTGATGATTCAGGGTCGGAGTGTTTGAGGCTAGATGGTTCAAAGTCGATTGTTTGGAACTAGATGGTTCACGGCCAAATCCTAGAAGCTTTAAGATATAATGTATAGATTTGAGCATTCCACTAATAACTTGCTAATTCCACAGTTATTTATATGGAATAAAGACAAACCTGAGACTGCTGATAAGAAACAAAAACAAATTTCTGCATACTAATACTCTAAAGCCCAAGTCATGGTCTCTAATGCTTTTATACTGTTATGACACACTTCATATCTGTGCTACGTGGTATAGCCATATTGGCCGAGCATCTTATTTTTGTGGGCTCAATGACAGAGAGAGGGACTTATCAGGGGAAAGCGCCAAGCCATAACGACTAGATAGCACTTGGAAGGGGTCAGGATAAGGGTTTGGGATGGGACGAAGAAAAGGAATGGTGCCCAACCACTTGGGCAGTCGGGGATTGAACGTCGAACTGCGTGAAGTGAGACCGTTGCTCTACCTAGTGGTTGGGCTCAATGAGGTTGTCCCGAGTTAGAATTTGTAATATAAAATGTGACATTTCATGTCTGATTTTGAAATTATAATGAAAAACAATAGCTCAATTGTAGGGCAAAATCTCGACAAATTATATAAAAAAAAAAGTTCTAAATTTGAAATTCAGTCCATCTCAAATTGAACTGGATTTTGTGTGTATAGTACGTATATTTTATCCAGTTTTATTTATCTCCCAACTTGAATATCTTTATTATCCCTGCATCTTTCAGTATTCAATATTTTATATCCTTTCTGTCAGCACAGTTTTGAGCGTGATAGTCCTCATTCGGTTCACGGTTAATTTCTTGGCTGCAACTAGTGGGAAGATTTGGTTTGACTACTTCACTCAACTATCACTAAACATTGCCACAATGGCACAGAGAAAGATGCGGGTTGCAGTAAGTACTACAACTCTCACAGCATTTGAGCCTTTATTGCATTACCTTTTTGCCTCGTTGCTCCAGAATGAATATTAGATCATTTGTGTGGTCAACTTAGAGAATTTTGATGCTCCACATGTTAATTATAATCTATGTATCATCAACAAATTTATATTTTGGAGGTGGAGAGATATAGGTAATCTAGTTGGGTTAATTTTTTCGAGTGATCTTTCATTGTTGCATTATGTAAAGAGATGGTGGGTTAAGAAAGTGAGCTTAATGGACAAATGGTTCCTTCCAGATTGAATGCGTGCTGTGAATGGGGTTGCACATGAATCTCCCTGCATAACTTGTGTGTGTGTGTGTACAGTTTTACAGAATAGACCACCTTATCAATGTGTGTGTGTGTGTGTATCCACTAGACATGGGCTGGTGTAATTTGTTATGAATCCAAACATTAAGCTTAAAAAAGGGGGGAGGATGGTGGGTATTAAAATTGTATATAGATCTAGGAGCTTGTAGTAATGGATTAGTAAGGATTTTCACTTGTGTTAGTAGACATCATTGGTGGAGGTTGGGGTTACGTGCCGCTGGTGTCGGCTCTACTTGTACAGCCTCTCGGGAAAATTTTATCCTTCAATTTGCCATTTTTATTTTTTATTTTTTTTTTGTAATCTGAACTTACCAGCTCTGTACAGATATTTAGACTATATTTTGTGGTTTTTGGAAACTGTATATTAGTAGAAAATTATTGTTTTAGTAATTGAAGCAAAGTATCCAGGTAAAAACTTTGCAAATAGTGGTCTGTTTAGTGCCTTTTTCACACATGAGAATTAGGCTTCCACATGCATTGAAACAACACCCTCTAGGTCTTTGATGAAGAAGTTAACGTTTTCTAAATGATATTGTCCATTTGCAGTTCGATGTATCTCTTCTTCTTTCACTGGTTTGTGTGTGTAATAACTTTTTTTTATGAGTCAAATGTAAGTTTAGGCTCTGACAGTTCATGTGGCCAATGTGCAAATCTGAAAATTCGTGATAACTTTTAAGGCATGCTGCGTATTTTTTGGCAGGTGACTTTGATAATTCTGGCAGCACACGTTTTGTGGAATTTTGTGTAATTACTTACAATAATCATAGGCATTATCTATACAGTATACTGTATGTACC